TTGCAAGCTATCCGAAGTGATCAATGGCCTTCTCGTTCTTAACAAGCTAATTTGCGCTTATTCATGAACTGAAGCGAGACCCACGATATATCTTCCGCGATTACTTTACAGCAATTCCCGAAATTTGTATGCGCTTCACACGGTAGATCGTCCCCGCCTCCCTTCGCACTGAAAATCAACTTCCCTACTTGTTACAAGCTTTCTATCAACTTTGTTGGAGAACCGGTTAACATGCTAATGCCGTTACATATTAATCACTATTAATGGCGACGAGTGCTCGGCTATCCTGAAAACAAACTGGTACTGAAATTGATAATAAATTTAAGCGACAAGGCTGTCAGCATTCATGACCTACAATCAAAACCATGATTGCATAAAACGCGCGAGTCCAGTCGGGTTAATTTACTAAGAATATCATTATATAAAATATTTTTAAAGTGAATTTGCGTTTCTCTGTCTAATTTATTTTATGAAATAAGAATTTAAAAAACCGGAGGTCAAAAATATAAAAAGTTTGAAAAATTTGTTACGTTATATTGTATTTTACAAAACGATTACAACAATATTTGCACTTTGTAACACACAATTGTACAGTTATCAATTTCTTCTCACGCATCAGACGCTGATATAGGTATAAATCGATAACGCAGTAATTATTGAGCGTAACGCATAATTAGCGATTAAACTCATTAACGGTTGAAATGCATAAGACTCATTACGTTCGCGAAATTCCAAAGCTGCGATATGCTCTGTTCGCGATCGAGCGACTTCGATTCTCGCCTCGGAGTTTGCTCGATACTTAGGACGATAGATTAATTTGTACTACGGGAGCGTGTTGTATCTCTCGAAGAAAATAACACGATTAAACTAACTCTTGATACGCGCCGTTGAATCAGGCGATAATAATTGCGGCGTGCGAATTACGCCTGCGAAATAATTAGCTGTGTGCGAATGTCCATTTGCGTGAGATAAACCGACCTTAGCGGACTTTAATTTAGAGTGAGAGTCTCTAATATACTCTTTCGAAATTGTTTTCGCGATTCCGCTATCGCGAATCTGGGTCGCCTATTACTATATAAATCCTAGCTACCGTTCAATGAATCCCGTCGTTGTAAATTAAAGATATTTGCTTTTCTCAATCTTTACTTTAACACAGTAACGCTTTAATTAATAAAATTACCGGCATTTACATAAAGTTCAATTGTTTGAATATAATTGTACAAATAAAATGAGCAGAAAATTTTCGATGTATTATAATCGTTTGTTCTTCATAAATTTATACAGATAAAAACGTAATAAAAAACACGGCTTACATTATTTTAAGCACGCGTAAACTTTTCCTCTGAATTTTTCAATGGTTTCACTACAAAGCTGTCGGTTTATTACAAATTGATCCTAAATTAAGCGGTGCAGTAACACGTTATATATTTTAGCGGTATCTCTCGGTTAATGAAAAATTCATATTTTTGAAACAATATTTTTAAAAGTGTCATATGAGGAAAGAACGATACGATCCGAGATGTCTTTCACATTGATACAATTTTGAATATTGTATTTTTATATTCACTTCTGTGTTGCTCTTTATTACACGGACGAAATAATAATTTGCAAAAGAGAGTGAATCCACAGAAATACCTAAGTTAGATTTAATTAGCACATTCGATTTATTGGCGCGATTGATAAATGCATCGAAATTCCAAGACATGTCGAATTGTGCGTACCACGGACGGTCATATCGATCCCGTGTGCAATTTAATTTGCAAATTCCTCATTGTGTTTCACAGAAACAATGCGTTTCGCAGAAGCGACGTGTCGCGACCGGCTCTTTATGCCTCTAATGACTATTCCGCCGCGCGACAAAATCAGTCCGGCGCTTGTGAAAAATCGCACTCGATTCGTACGCGATATATTTTCATATTCGCATACATATAATATAACAGCGTGTGCATGATTGTCTGCCTCACGAATGCGGGAGAAGTGCTCGCGCAGAATTTAGTATGTATGCACGTGGTGCGCGTACACACACACACGCACGCACACGCGCGCGCGCGCGGGAGCACCGATTGGCGTGACAGTACGTTGCATTTGTGCCACGCGCGCCGTGATACCGGGTGTCCGCTGAGAAGCGCGGCTGATTGGCGCGTCCAAGCTGTAATTGGCCGGCCGTTGTCGGTTTGCGTTTGATCGACGATAGGATGCGCGGTAAGAGCTCTTTGAGAGATAGAGGCCGGCGATTCGACGAGCAAATTATATTTTGTACTTTGTGTCAGTAAAAGTCGTAAAAGTGCATAAATTAAAGAATTCGCGATGGAATATATTTTTTTCACGCGAAATATCGTGACAAGAGAGGAAAGAAGTAAATAATAGAATTGTGTGCTGCGATAATCTTTCCTTTTGATTGGATAATATAAATTATTTAGAGGGAGGATGAGAGGGTTTTCTATTTTGTCGCTCTGTAATTTATATATCATATCATTTAACGCGAGAAAAATTTCAAAGAAATTTCAGGCGATATATTTGCAAATGCGGGGAAACGTCTGATGCAAGATTAAATTCGAGCGTTACAAATCAAATCGGTTTCACGGTTCTTCGATGACGAATTATACGACAGATCGCTGAGCTTTTACACAAATGAATATCGAATATTGTTTGCTAAATTAATGAACGAGCGAAAAACACAAGCACACGCTGGCGGGCATATTTCTCTGCGATGTTAAATATTTATTCAGGAAATTAACATCCGTCACACAAATACACACGTACTACACATCGTACTATGGCGCGTCTCTGATAATTGTTTCGACTAGCATAAATATCATAATTTGTAAAATGCCAGTGATGATTTAACGTCGGAGCATCCGGCTAGCGCGAAACTGAAATCGCCAATCTTTTCGACGGTGCCAGTAAAACGGAGGCAGCTAGGCAACGTCATGTCGATATGATAACAGTCAACTATTCGGCCTTTGGATAAGGAAGCGAAAAAATTCCGTTATCTGTATCGCGAACCATTCTGGGGAATGGAACGGAATTCTAACTGACATAATGAATGTTGCCCAGAAATCAATGTTTTTGAAATGTTAAACGCGCAGAAAAATGCATTCTTTCTCGAAAGGATTATCTAAAACAAATAATATGCGTGTATCTCTCTTCTCGATATACTTCGTACATTCGTTATTGGGGGGATATATCAAATGGAAAGATTTTACTTCTATCTTTAGGAGTACGAAGCTTTCGCGACAACCGTTTAATCGCACATAACTGTAAAGAGTAACAAAGTGTTTGAAGAAAATTATATTGTATTTCCACATACGTTTCAATCTGCGTGCAACGTCCATTTATTTGTCCGGAGCGGTGAGAAGGTTAATTAATTAGATTAACACGTTCCATTCCCACGCACGTGTAATTAAATGCTCAGGAATTCTCAAATGCTGCGATAAATCTCCAGTAATTGTGAAACATTTGCGCGTTTTGGATCGCTAAAAAAAGCCGTTCTTCTTGCACAGATGTTATCTTCCTTTCCGCTTTAGAATATCACCGTGAATAGTGCCAAGCATGACCTTCGAAAACCACCGTATCCGGTTACGCAAATCGTAATACGCGATTTGCATAATTTCGCCGGCGACTCTCGTTGGAAGAACAACGTTTGCATCCGCGTGCTTTTTTTTCTCTGAAACTTTAATCATCGTCAATCATTTCCTATGACAAACGAGTCGGTCGAGGCAAGCGCATTCGCGTGAATTCGTGCAACGGGTTACAGATATACCGCGACGAATACGTTTCTCGTGACTCGCGATTATGCAACCGCGATTGCGAAACCGCGGGCCACTTATTTTAGTGCATACAATTACGATAGCGACAGTTAGCAATTCAGGGAAATACATATCGCATGGCTTTCGGCATACGTTGATACCCCCCCCTGAAGACAAAATATCCATTATATGTTTCGTGTTCTCTTAAACCGAATCAATGAAAAAAAAATGTCACTGATTTTACTGATTTTCACTAGACACTCACGCTTCTTTACTTCTCCGTCTCATGTGTCCCATCGATTGTAATAAGATTTCACTGAAAAATCAGTAATAATCATACATATTTGCAAGATGTAACTTTTTAAAGTATTTTTTATTTATTTTGGATTGCGATTTTTCGAGAGAAGCTTTTACTCCTATTTGAAATAAAACACATATACAACTAGTATTAAAAAAATGCAGAATTATATACATATTACATTTTTTAATTCTTAAGATGTAAGAAACTTTTAAAAAATAAACGAGACTCTTGATCAAATTCAAATTTCTTTAATCAAATATATTATTATAAATTTATGTCAAATATCATATGACATAAGTGTCATATGTGTAATATGTATTAATATAAGACGCATTTTTGGAGATATTATTATATTATTAAAATATTATTATTTTATTATTATTACTATTATTATATTATTTTTAATACTGATTGAAACAGCTTTATCACTAATTATCACTAATTTCTTCAGTAGGATTTTAATGATTTACGGTGCTATATTTATAATTAAAACCACATTAGTGATTATTCACTGCTTTTTAGTAATAATACACTCATATATTTCATTGAAAAGAGTGTTATATGACAAAGTTGTTAGATATGTTAAGCAATGAACTTATATATAGCTTATTTGAGAAAAGTTTCTGAGAAACACAAGTCTGAAATTTTTAAAAACATCTTATCAGGCAGATAATAATATATTTAACAAATTTGTCATAATACTCAATATCGTGTTTTTATTCATTTGTTCATTTATTCTCTTTTTTTATAATAATAAATTATATTATATAAATTTTATAATAATAAATATTATACTAGGCTTATTCATTTGAGATGATCTCGGTCCGGTTGCCGTGAGGCCGTGAGTTAGCATGAAACGTCTGCTCTATCGAAAGTAGCACTTTCTTCATACACGGGTGGCGGGTGATCCGTGTACGTCATTGTTTGATGTAGTCGCGGTAATGTCGCAGGTCTGGAACGGGTAGCGGAGGAGTTGATGGGCCGTAGGAGATGGAAGCAATACCAGGACACCCTGTACAGCGGCACCCGCAGCAGCGAATCAGCGACGGCACAGCCCCACCATCGGCTTTATCCGGCGTTGTCGTCGTCCTGCAACCCGATACCCGGGAGCCTGGACCAAATTGGGCCGCAGCTGCATCATCCGGTACCATCGTCGTTGCCGTCGGCGATAGCGTCGACGGCGCTGACGACGGCCACAACAACGACGGCGACGACTCTCGCGACCAGTGTGGTAAAGCAGGAGAGCCTGCAGAGGCATCACCTGCAGAACCACCATCACCATCTGCAAGCGCCAGCTCACCAGGATCACCATCTGCAGCAGCAGGAGGATCTCCGCCGCTTGAGGCCGGGCGAGATCAAGGTCGAGGCTGCCGACGAGGAGCCCGCGGACGGTGTCGCGCGGGAGGACGTTGCCATCGCGAGAACGACGGACACGGTGACGTCTACAACGGCAACAACGACGGGAGCGACGACAGCGACGACGATGACGACGGCGACCGCGTCGGCGACAACAACGGCGTCCGGCACGACGACTATAACGACGAGACGGCGACGCGGACGTCGGCAGATCGACGGGGAGGACGTCGATGGCGAGGAGGACGGCGACGAGAACGACGACGAGACGGGACGGGGCCAAAACGAGGTGGAAAAACGGCTAAAGCTCGATGTGGACGCCGACAGATCGGCGGCCAGCCCACTCAGGACGGAAAACGATCGTGCGAATCATCCGATTGCCAACGCTACCGACACGGAAGGGACCAAGGTGAATGACAATTAAATTTATCTTAAATTGCTAAAACCTTTATAGCATTAGATCTGTTCTTTATAGCTGAACTGGCTGCACTAGTCATAGTTTATCTTTTTCTTTCCAATGTGGAGAGAAAAAGATAAACTCTGAATTAGTGCCACTATTGCAGCCAATTCAGTTATAAAGAACAGACCTATTATTAGAATGAGTCATATTATATTTTTTTTTCTCCCGACTCTTGATTTTATCACTCTATTCTGTAAGAATGAGCGGACGAAAAATAACGGGGCTTCACAAATAGGGACTCGATTCTAGAGCCCAACTCGTCGCTGGCTGGCACTTTATCAGTGAGCCAAACATTACCCCTTACTAGTATATTTTCTCCGCTCCTATTAGAGATTCCTCTCTAAATCTTATAGTTCGGCCAGCCTGAACGGTCATTCGACCCGAATGATCAATACCTCCTGGTTACCTTACTTGGGACTATCCAAACCTGAGGTTGCGTTGATTGAATCCTACTTCTGAAAGTTGTAAGCCACAAATGAAAAATAATGGGGTTCCACCGGGACTCGATCTTAGGACCCAACTTGTCGCTGGCTTGCACTCTGCCAGTGAATCAAACATTACCCCTTACCAATATATTTTTTCCGTTCTAATTAGAGATTCCTCTCTAAATCTTACAATTCTCCACTTTTCCGCTTTTACGTCCCAGGAACGAACGGAGGAGATCGCGTTGGAGCGGGCACCGGTAACGCATGGCTTACTGAGGGTAAAGAAGGAGGAGGAGCTACAAGAAGTGTCGGGTTCTGGCGGCGGTTCGACGATACTGACGACGCCGGCGACCGATTCGGAAGGGACCAGGTCGGGGCTGTTATGCCGCGAGGGAAACGCAACGAGCGTCCCGGCGCCGTTTCTCCTTGGAAGACGCATGAGCCCGCCGCCGGAGGATTGGAAGCCGCTCGACAAGTGTTACTTTTGCCTCGACGGCAAGCTACCCCACGACGACCAGCCGCCCCTTGTAAGTAACTTACGACGAGTTTGCCCGGTGTGAGGTTGCGCATGGCTGAGCATCGACCTCGTCCTTGATCGCTAACTCTGTGTAGAGATTACATACTCGAAGGCGACGAGAGACAATGGAAGAATAAGAGCGAACGAATCATTTTTCCTTTGCGCAAAATTCGGGTCCGAGGATGACACCTCGTGATCCGGATCTTGCCGATAACCGGGTAACGATAACGCTAGTGTTGCTCGTTTCATCTGCCACTTACGCAATCGCGTCATTGGAATAATTTGTCATCGTTTCATACTTTTCCATACGCCTGTTGTGCCATCGCGAGCGCGACTTGAGTCTGATACCCGGTCTTCGCTGCTTTCGATTAAATCGTGCGCCGACGGCCACCCCACCAGCCTCTCTCTCTCTCTCTCTATATATATATATATATCTCTCTCTCTTTCTCTCTCTCTCTCTCTCTTTCTCTCTCACAGCTTTGATCACTTTGACGCGCCCATACAAGATTCACGAGGACTCGCGAAGGCGGCAGGCCTTTTCAAAAATGAATTCGATCAGAATTCGATCCCCACATAGCATCTTTCTCGCCGGTCTCTCTTTTCTCTCTCTCTCTTTTTTTTTTTTTTTTTTTTTTTTTTTTCCGGGTATCGGTTCCCCTGATCGGCAAATCGCGCGAGCACGGTATGACACGTTTCTCCGTGTTGTGCCCCGCAGAGTCCGCAGAGCGACAGTGGCAGCAGTTCGCGATCGGCGGAATCACCAATGTCGGTCCAGGTGGATCCGATGGCGGCGTCCGTGGTCGCCGCCGCTCTCAGCGGCACTTATCCCACCCTGCTGCCCCAATGGTGCTTACCGCCGAGGGAGGCACCCCTCGTTGGGGTGCAGACCCACCAGGACAGCGCCGCGGTGGCCGATCAACCGCTCGATCTCTCGGCCAAACCCAGAAATTCTCAGGTAAGCGCGAGATGTTCGTGCTCGTTGTTCTATCGTCTGTGTAAATGTACATTTTCTCTCTCTCTCTCTCTTTCTTTCTTTCGGCTTCGTTTCATTTTTCTATCTCATAACGCTCATTCGAATCACTCTTCGGATATCCATTGCGCGGTTTGTAAAGTGTTTGACAAAAGATCGTACAATGAGCGCGAAAACGCTTGTAAATTATCCGTTACTATTACGCATTTTTTTTTTACCGGACTTGCCATCATCTAACGCGCGACGATTGCTATTATAATACGTACACTGCTGAAAAATAGAAATTTTTTTTATAGTGTCTTATTAGTGCTTATATTAGTCGTGTTATTAAGTGACTAATGCTGACATCTCTAAATAACTTAAGCTGTATGCTTGCGTAATATTAATTATTATTCGATTATCGAAGTCTCTTGATCGTTCTTTTATATTAATATTATGATTCATTTGTTTGTGTTCAGGACAACAACATATCCCTACTAGAGCAACAGAAAATACCTCTGAGAATGCCGACAGGCATCGATCCCAAAACTATTCTCAAGTAAGTACAATGATTTTTTAGTATTTCTTAAATTGCAGAAAAAATATATAGAATAGAAAATATAGAAGAATATATAAAATTCCTTATTAATTGCCAGTGATTTATACATTGACCAACGTATATATAAATCAACTCGATGCATTTAATTTAAAATTATACATCCTATGCGTTATTCATTTGATTCGTCAAAGTGATAAATGTATAAAACCCAAACGAAGGAGATTAATCATAAAACAGTCGTAATTAAATCGCCGTGGAGATATAAAAATAAAAACTGAAATAAATGAAAATAATTCCGCTTATGCGAAAATTATAGTTTTATATACAAATTTTTTTTTTATTTGAAACCTGCAGATCTCTATAAATTTTACATCTTTTGTTAATAAATTTAATATGTTGGAAAAAATCTTGCGTTAAATAAAAGAGATGATATAGAATTAGCGTTTCTTAGAGCGCGCATCGGAATGTGAAAAGAGACGAGATTTCTCTTAAACAGTAAGACCGTACGAGTATTCAGGTTCGACGGAAGGGCGTTCTTTTCGACGGGATGTCGTTTCGGGCGTTATCGCGCGACTCACTTTACACCTCGAGGCGAGAATCGCTGATACGAATATGCATTTCGTACCGAACGGAGGAAAGGAAAGAAAAAGAGATCCGCGATCGCATTCCTCCTAGCGAGAACATTTCTCGTGATCGAGTGGCCGTTTAAGCCGGCCGGGTGTGCGCGTTATATTCCGATAAGGCGTCGATTAAAATGCTGCCGGTAAACGACTTTCGAAAAATCGCGAAACTGACAGCCAGTCGATCCGGAATGCCGTCGCAATTAGGTGCCAATCACCGTGGCCGAGCATAACCGTGATTTATCTCCCTCGTAAAGACGTCAGGCGCGACAAGCGCGAGAGGAATCGTATCGTTCTCGAATGACGCCCGTTCGCTCGAGTTCGCATTCGCGGCTTGCATTTTTGGACTTTTATACGGACAAATATACGTGGTAAGTTTGACAATCTTGATAACACGATTAAGAACTTTTATACATAGATTCTTTGGTATGCGGACTCGATCGGTTTTATATATATATATATGTATATAATCAAAGTTTCTAAAAAAATATTAAATTCTTTAATTATTGAATATTATTTTGTAATTCTTAAAATATTGAATTCTTTATTTATTTATAATTAACAGAGTTATATTTTCAATTATTTTTATAACGTGAGGTCATATATTTGCTGAGTATTATTATTAAGCGTCTTGTATTGTCATTGCGTGTATGTGTGATTCTCTGTGTGTACTATAATTGTAATAAATGACGAACAGGGTTATAGATAAAGAGCCACGGTTATCAGGATCTAAAATCGCGGTGAAGCTCAAGTTTGCTGGGTGAACTTGGTCGTGCGTTCTATCAAGCCGACCTTAATAACAGTATTGTGAACATTCGACGATTATCTTAGACATGTTAGAGAGATATGCATGTCTGGAATACGTCATATTTGATCCCTGCGATCATCTTTCACGAGTCCTTTTATCGCTCAAAATTCACAATTGAATTATAAAGACTACAATAATCTTATAAATTTTTGTCTTTTTAATTTTAATTGAATAAATAATTATAAAAATATAAGTGGTACCTCAAGATTTATATTAAATAATATCATATATATATATATTGTTAGAAAGAGTATTAATAAATAATGATTTATATTGCAAATACTTTACTAATATAAAATTTATAAGTTTTATAGAAATTTTTTTGTTACATAATGGATATAGTAATATATTTTTTTTCTTGATATAAATAGAATATTCTTTGATTAAACTGTCACAAGTAGGTGACAGTTAGTAAGTAGTGCGAGTAGGTAGGTCGCTTACTGCACGGTTCTCATTCGCAAATATTTAATATATACTACAGTATTTTAAACTGCGCGAAAAAATTTCGTTGTAATACGTTTGCGGTAAACAGCTGGTACCCTCTAAATCGTAATAATACCGACGAGTTGCTTGAACTTTTCAACCCTTTGAGCTTTAAACTGCTATAGTCTGCGGTACGTACCTCGATAAATATTTAAGCAGTACGTTTCACAGAATCGATGCACAACTCTGTTGTGGTCTCGAATGCGAAACATGAGATATCGTAAATTTCTATCTGTACATAGAGATAAATGACAGCGAAAGAAAAGGGATTTTTATACATTTTTACATCATTTTTATCATTAAAAAAAAAAAAAAAAAATTAAAAACCAAATTAATTACGACGATATTGTATTTATGCTACATCAATCTTCTTCTGTTCGATTCATGATAAAATTTAGGAAGCCCTGATAATGAACGCGTATTGGTAGCTTTCGATTTTGTTTGAAAAAATTTAAATTGTTCCAGTCTTTTACTATTAGTGTACATCCGGATTCATGAAAATATACGATCATTGACGAATGTTAATTTTTGTTTTTCTGTGCGAAAAACGAAAGCGATCGTCGATAGCTCGAATGAGTCGCGCGAGTCGAGTTTGATATCAGATCGTCGTGCTAAAGTATCGAAGGCGTACGTTGCCCCCGTGTTTTCGCTGTTTTCCCCCGCGAAACATTTTGCGCATCAAATTTTTATCATCGTCTATTATTAGTCCATCGTAATCTGCACCTCCCGACGCATCGAAGACGTGGAGAGTACCTCGTGTGTATCTCGCGGCCTCGATTACGAGGGACGTAAAGGGAGAGTGCAACTCGTAACGCGAGAAGGGGAGAAAGAACGGTGAGGCGGGTGGGGAGGAGGGGAAGCGAGGAAGAGGGACGCAAGAGACGAGAAAGATCAAAGGGGGAGAGAAAAGAAAGAGGCGAGGGAAGTTCGCGCCGACGCATGCTCGACGTAATTAACGATAAGATAGGACCGCCAGCGAAACCGCGCGGTAGTCGGGTCGAAATTAAAACCCAATTCAAATTAGATCACGGATATTTAATTCTGAATACGACGGACCTGAAGTCGTGGATTTAAGTCTATACTCAAAAATATATGGGAATTATAACCAGCTCTTATAAATATAACAAGATAATTATAAAAAATACACGTGGAGAAAATCGTCGATTTTTAAACAGTAATTAAGTGCGAACTTTATAGATTTTATTATTTAAAGAGACTCCAAATCGAATATCATAAAATTGTTAAAAGAAATGAGTGTTCATCTGTAAACGAAGGAAGATACTGGTAACTTGGAGCATCCGCTCGTAAATTGTTACGATCAACACGCAATGCGTGAATTCTATTCCTTAGGGTGAGTGCTCCGAATAAAGGAGAATGTAGGTTGGCAGTATCATTCTCGTACTTTCTCGTCAAAATATTGTATCCCTTTGTTGGAAGCTGATCCGCGTTATAACACGTTTCGTGTCTTATTGAGAGAATCTACGACATGGCGCAAAGTACGAGCCCCCGTTTAAGGCACTTTCGTATGAATAAACGCAAAGAGAAAATCCAGGGCTCGTCTTGATCCGACTCGGCATTAAACTTGTACGTACATTCTCAAACGGAGCCGCCCGATTAAGATCAAGAGCTTCCGGCTGCCTTTGAAAATATCAAAACTACGTCAACTTTTCGATGCACTCTCGGAGGAATACAATGATCTTGTTGTTTTAATTTTATTGTTACACGTGTAACTTTGGGAATATTAATAATGTAGATTTTTTTGCCTCTTCTTTTGTATTTGTCTGGCTGCACATGGACACAATGCACGCATTATATAAAAGTTTCAGATAAAGTGAAAATTATATTGCTCGTCAAAAGCTTAATACAGCTCTTTAAAAGTAAATGTATTCAAATTAAATCTATGCTGCTTGAACATGTCAAGTTTTTGTACTTCACTTTGCTGTTACAAACTAGGCGAATCTCGAGATATTTATCGTCTTCTATAAACTGGCATTATGCAATCGAATACTTGACTAGTCGATGTAACTTTATACATGTTTTTGAACGTTCACTTTTACAGTTACAGCGGAATCTTTATTTCAATTTTTTTATATATTTATTTTATATTTGTTTCACTTTTGTATCATTTTATGGAGAGTTATAATAAAATATGTTGCATTTTAAAAAACAAGAAATTAGACTTCAAATTTTTCTTTAATTTTCGGATTATTCTGTATATATGTATAAGCATTAATTAATAAATATTAATGTGTTTCAATTCGAAGATTTTCAAAATTCTTTAATTAAGGAAAGGATATGCGGATTTTTAAAATGCTATATCATTTTAAATAGATTATAAATTTTTTAGAAATTTAGGATAAAAAATGCGAGCTAGTTGACTAGATCTAAGAACGTGCCATAGCAAGTCATAAACGAAATTAGACGTACGGTTCGCGTCCGTGATACTGAAAAATAGGCAAGCCGCAATAAAACCAGACAGGAGTACTGAAGCAAAACCGGTTCGTAGAAGGCTTTGGAGAAGGTTCGCTGGCCAAAGAGGTATTGACGTCGCTGCGAAGGACAAGATTATGACTATCTGGTTCGCGATTGCGTGAGTCTTGCGATTTATGCGAGAATTTACAAAACCGAACCAGTTTAGTTAGCTCGATCGTGAAACGTTGACTTTGAATGCATAAATAATATGTCGAAGATATAGATGGTCTAACCGTCACAAAATCGTTATCGGCTAAGAATCATCCTCACGATATATTTTATAAAAACGCGTTATTACGGCATCGATATTTTTTAATCTTTTTATTCATCTTTGCTAATTCAATTTTGATATTTATTTAATCATGTTATGCACTAAAAATAATTTTTTTTTTGAATTAAATAAATTCATTTTGTTAATTTTGATTTTTTTTTACTCAAATAAATATATATTTGTTTCCAAAAATGTTTTGTTATAATAAATAAATAATTATTTGCATGTAATAAAAATTATAATTTTTAAAATACATTATTTGAAATTTTAATATAAACAAATATTTATTTGAAGGTAAAAAATTATTTATTAAAATAAAGAAAACTTGTGTTTTTGAAATAAGCAGCCAAAAAATAAAAAATTTTTTTTCAAGGTAGTAATTTAGTATAATAAAAATAAAAATCAATTTTTTTTTTATTTGCAAATAAAAGCATACTTTGTGCTTTTATTTTATATTTTACTAATTCAAATATATTTGCTGCTTGATTAAAATAACTAATTCCTTTGCAAGTATTTAAATAAATAATTTTTTTAAATAAACAAAATTTTTGGGGGATTTAGTGCATTTGTTTTCAGTGTGTATAATACAATACGCCAAGTGTCTCATGTTTTCACGAAAATCCGTCGACGATTAAATCTAAATTTCTCGCGTTTAAATAGGCGCACCGTGTCGTTTCATTTAGCGAATACCGTTTTCTTTGAAATTACGCGACAGCATTACTCGAGGAACGTTGAACCTGAGACATACACGGACGCGCCGGGTCGACCGAGTTTCCAACGACGACGACGACGACGACGACGACAACGACAACGACGACGACGTGGTGGATATCGTCGCGTAAAACCGCAGACAAGTCGACAAACAAAAATCGCAGATAAATCAACGCCGGTCGATGACTGACGTAGCGGGACCTATCCGGGAGGCCAGCGTCGGACGAAATGCACTTTTATCAGCGGCTCAGGTCGACGAACTTGAGACAGAAGGGGGGCTCACCCGGTGCATGTGCAAGCGGGGGTGGGACGGCGAGGGGGAGTTCGCGATGATTCCTTACGCCTCTCTCTAATCTTATCGGTTGCGCACTGTGACAAATTACACCATAGCCCGATATCCATCGCCTTCGTGCCACGTCGCGTTCTTTTATGCAAGTGCGAAATATTACCGGCTGCTTTTGCGCTGAAAGTTGTTACATTCTTCTCGCATGTTTAGGGCGCGAAGCGATTAGTGTGGGGTGGTTTAGCTATGAGAATCTATCGAGCAGATTTTCATTGTTGCACGCGAAAGTGGTATCAGAGAAAAGAGATTTACTGTCTTTTCTTTCCGCTATTATTAGATTAGATTTTTATTTAAATATATAAATTTTATTTACATTAATTTCTTGAGGATATCGATATGTAAAAAATGTCACGTTATTTTTTTAAAATTAGAATTTAGATTTTGTTTGACCTTTTTTATCTTCCATTTAAGTCAGCAAACAAGCGTTTTAATGAGAAAATGATGTTAGAGATATACAATGTACAATGTACAAACACTATATATTTTTATAAAAGAACAAAGATCAGCTGCTTGATACAATGCTTGACGTCATAGACTGCTTAAGAATACTTTATTACAATGAAAATATTGCTTAGCAAACATAATGTGTTTTGGGAAGTATGTAATTGCGTACCGACATGACAATTTATGATAGCAATAAAAAGAAAATTCTAGCGCGAAAACGGGTATTAAAATTATTAATATACGCGCTTGCCCTCCGGTGATGTTAGAGCGCTTGTATACGTTGTTTTAATTCTCGTCTCTCGGCGTAGATAAATCTCGTCCATATGACGTACGGTATAAATCACGATGAGCGAAATGATATTTATGTAAATGAATTACATATTTAAAGAGATGTAAATGCTCGAACATCTCTCCGACACGGTTTTCCCGGTCAAATATTATTGATTGCACATGGCAGTTCGCGAAATTGTCGAGTTAACACGTCTTCCCGCATTTGAAAAACTTAATTTACATGACTGAATGTCTTGAAGGCGAGCTTAAAGTTGCACGGATTTGTTATTCATCACCGGCGTCAAACACGTGCGGATGTCGAAACGGCCACGTGGCCGTTTAATGCGGATCGTCTATTGAATTAGTTCCAGAGAACGCACGTGAGCTTGCGAAAAGCGATGGATAGGCTGACGACTTTGTTGTACACGAGAACGGACTTGTGCGAGTATTGATCACCCCAATCGATTTTTAAATCGCGCGTATGGTCCCTTCACTATACCCACTTACGTCAATGTTGCGAGATGTTTGAAGGCAAGAATGTTATTTTCGGGATTCCTCAATTTAATAGGTTATTTTTATAGGATTTTTTGTTAGAAGAAGAATGCCGCAAACCACAATGCGCTATGATCCATAGTTTTCGAGATATCGATTTTTAAAAATCGTAATTACAGCAATACTTTTGTCACAACAATTTATGGTAATTTTCTGACACCATGTATTTTTTGTAAAACATATTTTTAACAGATTTATTTTATTATGTGTAGAAAAATCGAATGCGTAGGCGGGGAAGGGGCGGAGCACCCTCACTCCGAAAAAAAATTGGAAATAACATTCTCCCCTGTTTGAAGATTTAGTGCCAATTACGTTTTGATTAGTGTCCCGGATACTTTCGTGGCAATTTTAAATTGCATGCAAACGAAAGCTTTTATCGATATTCGATATTTTATTGCTCTTTTTAGGAAATAAGAAAAATAGCAATTTTCTAGAGTGTTTTAGAATTATTTTTGTTTCATAAAATATCGATTTGCTCCAATGATATACCTGCTTTTAATACACCGTTTATTTAAATTGATACTCTGACATTAATGTACGAAGATAAACGAGATCCATTATAATGACTGATGGATGGAAGCTGTATTTTAAAAATCGCGGATAGAACGAAGAGTGAAAATTACATAAAAATAAATTTTCCTATAATAAAAAGCAGTTGTGACATCCAACGATTTGTTTCTGGCGTCTCTTAATACTTGTATATATTAGAAACTCGACTCACCGGATTTGATTCCTATATAGCCGTCCCGAAATCATGGAGACCATATTGTAGGCAAAAAAAAACAGCATCACCTAGCCTCGATATAATGTTGATTAACTCTGTTTTAGCTCGTGTTACCGCGCGAAACCGCGAATGACCGGACCAGTTGCGGCCGCGGCGGCGGCGGCGGCGGCAGCTGCGGCAGGCGTCGGTGGTGTTCCAGTGGTGGGTGCCGGGGGTGGCAGGAGGACTTACACCGAGGAGGAACTGCAGGCCGCTCTTAGGGACATCCAGAGCGGCAAGCTCGGCACGCGGAGGGCGGCGGTGATCTACGGGATACCGCGTAGCACGCTGCGCAACAAGGTCTACAAGCTCGCGATGGAACGCGAAAGGGACGCGTCCCTGACTAGCACCCATTCACACCCTCACGAGCCCGGCGCCCCAGCCACCACCACCACCACCATCACCACCACCACCACCACCACCACTACTACTACTACTACTACAACACCAAATACGACCCAAAACGCCTCCGCGACCACTCCGCCCCCGCAAGTGGACGAGGTAGGTTTTGGGGACAGAAAACGGAGGATATAGCTAGAGATTTAGAACGAGAGGGAGAGAGAGAGAAAGGGAGAGAATAGATCAACGAGAGAGGGGAAAGAAAAGAGCGAGAATGGGCGAGATGCAGAGAGCGAAGGGTGAAAACGTTCCACCGACACGTGCCGAACTCTCCTCGTCGGTACTTTCACGCGTGTCGGGTAGAAAAGCCGAGGATGCAAATTGGCATGGACGGCGACTGGGAGGTTCTCGTGAAAGAATGATGCGACGAGACATTTTCGTCTACCGAGACGACGCGCAAGGACTCTCCATCGAGTATAGTCTTTTGTCTCCGGTAGTTTTCGTTATCGATGCCCGTTGGTCCTTATCCGGAAACGAATCAATGGCGCGAGAGAAGTGATTTCGAAATTGTTCCGTTGACTCCTACAAGTGCCTGATGGTATAACTGCGCGATTCTCCTTCACATTTTCCTTTTATTTGCATAGATATTAGAAAGCATTTTGACCTATAAATTACGAAATAGATATAAGAGTATATCGAAAGAGTAAATTTCAGACTTTTCAACTATTATATTATGAAACAGACATGCATCGCGTAATATCTGCGCGTTGATTATTACGTGATAATATGTAATATAAAAAAAAATATTAGAAAGACAGCATTTGATTAGATTTTTATCCGGAAAAGATGAAATTTATAACAATTATTTGTTTAAACTCTACAATAATAATTATAAATATTTTTGAATTAAGTTGCGTTTTTACAGAATATTTTAGTCGTAAAGGAATATTAAAAAATGGAAAAAAGATACCTAAAAATATATTAATAAATGAGAACAGAGTATATATAAAAGTTTTCAAAACATAATTTATATTATTGGAATATATATATATTGTCAGGCATTCCAGAGATCACGCACAATTTCTTTCGACTAAAACTGTTCGCAAGCGAGTAGTAATTCTCCATGATTTAAATACATGGCGAAACAGGCCGATTACCATGCAAAGAAACATGGAAGGGTGGGTGGGAAACGGAACGATGCACGAGGGAGATCTCGTTGAGGGAAAATTCGTGGATACATACCGTCCATTTGTACCTAAGTGTGGTTTTGGTTAGGAAGAACGAATGAAGCTTCCCCAAAACATACCTCTGGCACGGCGATCGTGGATCTCGCGTGGACCGAGTGTATCTCGTTATCGTGAAACGACGCCCGAAATTCGGACTCGGTCAGAGCGAACTCGGCAATTCATTGATCGTTAAATTAATCTAGAACAGCCTCATTATCGAATATTTTTGCTATAGTTTACGCTTCTGCTAAATTCCAGTCGCTTGCTAAAACGCAGAAAATTTAACTTTGACAAGGATTAATCTCGTTTCAACATTATATACAGATGACACGAATCTTATCAATACTAACTATCTTTATTTCTCTTTTTTTTAAATAAATATTGTGTGTACTTTCAAAAATACACGTACTTGCGGAGAATAAGTGAAACTTTTACAAGTCGATAGATTAAAATTTCTTTTCCAAAGATTTTTCGATTTCTCTTATATTGCGGAAAAATATCGACCTAGTCCGAAAAAATGTTGACGGCAAGTGTGCGTTTTGGTCGGTGACACTAGGAGACGCTGGAGGAAGGGGACGATGGTCTACGCGGCTCCGTATCGGTCGCCGTGGTGCTCAGTAGTGTCCAGTGTTTTTTTGCATGGGCTGTTTAACTTTTTTTATCTCACTATTTGTAGTTTAACACATGGCAACTTGGTGTCCGCGAGGTTGCAAGACTCGAGGTAAGTCTTTGGGAAGGCCGGGTTGAGACGAAAAAAGAAAAAAAAAAAAAAAAAAGAATCTGTCCGGGCTTGGTCTTTCTTTTGTCTCTAACGAGGGCCCCGCTTATGGCCCCCGGAATTCAATAATTGGTCGTGAATGTACGCTTCTGGACCTCGACACTCTGCATCCTCGATGTGCCGCGCATATAACCCTACGCCGTAGAGAGACGTCCAATCAAATAATTGTTCCGAAATAGACGGATCGCAATCCCAGTGTGAACGCGCTGCCATGCATGAAACAGTCGCGCGATCGAAGATTACGGCAGATTAAACACGGTGGCCCGATTTAATCCTCATCACCTGATAATGTCTTTTGCCTTGATTTGATAGCGATTAATTTTGCTTAACGTGTATAGGATAGGAATTGATCGCAATTAGATAATCGAAAATATCCAATGCATTAAAGTGCAAGAATCTTCGATTTATTTCAGCATAATTGTAGCAGTGTTTATCTTTAGCGATACTGATATTAGAATAAATTCTATTTATTAGAATTTAGAAGAGTAGTTTTTCGTTGGAAGAGAAAAATTGAACGAAAGCTCGAAGAGTACTATCGTATAAAATATTGTAAGATTAAATTTGTAAAATATCGCATTTTCCTAAATATTCTAATCGCATCGCACAATCTGTTAGTAGTGATAGTTGCCACTTAAAAATTATTCGTTGACCAAATTGCGCCTTAGCATGAGGCGCTATTTTACGGTACAATTTGTCGAGCCTGCAAGCACGATCTATGCACGAGAACGGTTAAAATCTCATTTTGCCTGCCTGCATTTCATGCGATCGCGTACTGCTCGTTTGTACACATACGTGGTAACCATCATAAAAGACTGTTGCTTCACTTTTAGTGCAATGCATGCGCCTTAAACGAGTCCCCCGAGCACTTGAATTCTGGCGTATCTTGTCGCAACGCACGCCGAAGATGAGTTTTCTCTTTTTCTTTTAGTCTACGCGAATTTTTCTACCTTTTCCTGTTATTGGGAGCTAGCGAGGAAAAGGTAGTCGCGATTATATAAATATATTGTATAGTGAATGATTGCCAAGAGCATCGAGAACGTTTTTCCGTAAAACATTGATCACCTCTTTGAAAAATACTGTTTACTGATTAAGCAGCTGATCCTGCATGGCGCTTGGCTGGCTATTCTACGTTCGATGGAGATGTATATATTGAGTGATTTGCGTAAAGTGACTCGATGATGCGATCTTAAAATAAGTATATTAGATAGAGAAAAATTATAGCATTATTTCCCCTGTTTTTTTATTATTTTATAGGCGAAACTTTTTCTTTTTATAAAATGAAATAACGCTAAATGATTTTCGCTAAATGTCTGGAAAAGAAGTTTTGAAGCATCATTTTCAATATTCCAGAAATGTTTTCATCTCAAAACAGTAAAAACTGGCTCGCGATTCTTTTTATATGAAACCTAATTTGCGGAACGTTCTCAAAGCCGAAAGTACCCTTTTTCGCGCGCATTACGCTTTTTTTCCCATTTTAATACTTTTTTTGAAATATGCAATGCGGTCGCTTTACGAGAAACACTTTGTATATATTTACATGGACAATTGACACTTACACACGATACAAATACACGTACATTCCAGACACACACCTCTCGACGAAGCACTCTCGAACAAGAAGTTGTCATTAATGAGCAACAAGGTTTGCCTAATGATTATCGATGATAAGAAGAGCACCGCTTCTATTCACGTCTCCGGAGACGGAGTGGAAGCTTCTACTTTTACTTTCCTCGAGAGGGCAACTTGACCGTAATCTGCAATTTAGATGCTCTTTCACGAGCAAAGAGTATACGCAGAAAAAGCTAGAAAAGATATTTTTAACAGGTGGACGACAAAGAATTATCCGGCGCGGAAGAAGAGAAGGAAGTCGAGAAGGCCCTGTTGAAGCCTCTGCTTTCGTTGGAGGATCTCGTCAGGTTCTCTGCGTTCGAAGGTACCGGTGGTGATTCCCTCAGGAACCTGTTACAACGGGGACACGAGACAGGAACTGAATGGCCGGGATTGGAACACGCCAACATTGGTCCTTACATTCAGAAGATGTTGGCTGCCGCTGTGCCATTAGGTAAAATAAAATCTTTGGTGTTCTTTTTCTTTTTGGCATTATCTGTTAAAAATTTTTCCTCGCTTTTATTTGAGAATTGCAATGTAGTTTTGATAACATATCATGATGTTATAATTATTAGCAAAAAATCCTTTTTTGCTTTTTCTAAATTTGAGATAAATCTATTCATATTAATACAATTCGGAGAAAATAAGTACGTAGAATTAACTTGTCTTATAAGATATATTATCCGGGATTTGTGTCACACATTTCCGGCAGATATTTGTTTCTTTTTATCTACTAAATGTGACCAGCCAATCTCTGCGCCAAGAGAGGAAAGCCGAAAAGTGTATTACGTCGTGATAGGACTTCCAGAATCGATAGAAGCCGGGCCTTGGTCAGTTAGTTTGCCGATAATTCCTCTGCTTTTAAAGACTGCGAATTAAATCGAGTAGCTTAAATCTCTCTGTATTTGGAATTACGACAAATAGAAAGACAAAATGTTACAGAGGCAATCATGATTTTTATTAAAATTATCATAAATTGATATTGAACTTTGTTTGCATTCTTTGCACTATTCTTACCTATTTTATCTAAAAATATCTCGAATAAAATATATGTCTCTTACTATAATACTTAAAGACGCAAGTGTTATTAGATGCAAAATAAAAAACTTGAATTAAAATTTATGAAAAACTATCATGAAGATATTAAAACGTGTTTCTTGTTGCTAACAATGTATTATGTATTAGTCAAGTATAATAATATATTTAGATATTTATTTGTCTTTATAGTGTAAACATTACAATAAACAATAAATAATATATTTTAAACTTATCAGGACTGGACACACGAGACTATCGCATACCGGAAGTGGTGAGGAAGCTGATGAGCGAAGATAAGAGGCTGAACAAGAATGTGAACGGCGATCAGTCGCAGTCGCATCATCAGCACCATCACCATCCCTTAGCTGCGCATCAGCAGACGCAGTCGCAGCAGCAGCGCGTACCCATGACGAACGACGACTTCAATCCCAACATCGAGGAGGAGGCCAGCGACAGCGCTCAGGGCAGAGCGATACTGAAGATTCCGTCCTACAAGCCCGCCAGCACGCCGGGCTGTTCCAGCAAGAACGGCGAGCCGACTTCCGCCGCGTTCGCCCAGGGTTTCGCGGCTGCCGCCTCGAGTCCGGGTCTTCTGGAGCGAGCTAGCCCAGCCTTCTCCGGCACCAGTAGCCCCACGAATTCGCTGGTGGGCAAAGCGGTGGCCGTCAACTTCCGCGACGTCATCGCCAAGAGCATCAGTGTTAAATTTCAGGAAGGCCAAACACCCGGCGCGGCCGGTATGCCGGGTTGCCAATCGGCCGGCGTCGTTCCGTCGCAGCAGGCCATGATGACGGACCCGAACCCGTTCAAGAGGGGTCGTTACACGCCCCCGCAACCGCCGCAGCAACAGCAGCAGCAACAGCCGTCGTCGCAGCAACAGCAGCAGGCCAAGCAGCAGTCGCAAGACGCGAACAAGTCGAAGCAGGGCACCGGAGGCAAGGGTACCAGACCGAAACGCGGCAAGTACAGGAACTACGATAGGGATAGTCTCGTCGAGGCGGTACGCGCGGTACAGCGCGGTGAGATGAGCGTGCATCGTGCTGGCAGCTTTTACGGAGTTCCGCACTCCACCCTTGAGTACAAAGTCAAGGAGCGGCATCTCATGAGGCCGCGAAAGAGGTAAGCCTTTTCCTTTTTTTTCTCTCTTTCATGAACAATGCAATATTTATGTGATAAATGTAGGATAAACGTGATATTTTGATAGGGAGTATCTCGCATTTAATGGGATATATATATATATATATATATATATATATATATACATATTTAATCATGGATTGTTAATTATTATAAAGAATTATAAGCACTGTTATTAAGAGTTAAGAGCTATATCGCGAGCTTTTACTTTTCTCGCAGGGACCAGAAGCAACCAGACGACAAATCGAAGGAGACCGCGACGACGGCAGCGGCAGCGGCGGCCGCGGTGATGCGGCCAGGCGCTGCCGGCGTCGACAAGAAACCGCAGTTGAAACCGCAGCAGAAGCCGTTTACGCCGCCGGGTGGCATACCCGGTCCGAACGGATTGAAAATGCCTCCGTTCATGGAGGGCATGCCTCCTCACTTGCCGTTCGCGGCCTTCAACTTCTGGAACCCGGGACCCTTCATGCCCTCGCCCTTTATGGGTGGCGGACCGAACGTGCCGATCCTGCCGGAACAATACTTTGCGGCATCGCAGAGAATACGCGGGCTGCAGGAACAACAACGAAACGCGGCGATGGTACAACAACAGCACCAGCAACGAGACCGTGACGGCGGTGTTGGCGTATCCGGAACGCCAGACGCAGCTGGAACCTCGAATTCTCGAAGCGCGTCGATGGCGAAGGCGCCGCGCGACGTGGTAGAAAGTATCTATGACGGGTCTGGGGCGAACGGCAGTTTCTTGGACAATCTGATCAGGTCGAGCCTCGAGACAGGCATACCACCAAGGGACCAGCGTACGATGGCGGAAGTGAGGAACCAGCAGCAGCAATCGTCGTCGCAAGCGCAACATCCGGAGACGATGAGTAGTAAGACGTTGATCGATCAGCTTTGCAGAAATTCGAGAAGAACTCCGCTGCCTCGGATAGCGCAAGATAGCAGTGAGGATGAGAGTTATCGAGGACCAGCGGGCAGGATAGTGCCGGAAAGGCCTGAGCGTGTGCCTACGGTTGATCTCAGCCCATCACCATCGGAGAGGGGTCGTACGGAGGACGGCAGCGATCGGCTCACGTCACCACCGACGCCTCTGTCGATTTCTCGAGCAGGTAGCAGGGACGAGGATAGCACCCGTGACTCGAGGATCGATCGCAGCAGCAGAGAGCGCGAAGTTCATAACGGCGGCCAGGAGGATCGCGATAGGAAGCAGCCTTTGAGCCTGCAACAGCAGCAGCAACCACAGCTGAACCATTACCCGGACTTACACAACCTCTACGCCGTATCAACTGACAAAAAAAGTGCCTGTGATAGTAAGCTTATAGTAGATCATTCGAGCCAGAAGACTCAGCCGCAGCAACAACAAAAGGAATACGCTGCCGTGAGCGGGCTGGTCGTGCAACTGCAGAGGGGCTACAACACCGCGAGCAACAGATCCGGCGAGTCGACTAACAGCCAACAGCCGGCGGCGGAGCAACGTGGCCCCGCGCTCAGCATGGAGGACTCCGTAGAGCAGTAGACGAAAGTCAGTATCAGTTATCAGTAAAGTATACAGTTATGAGTACAGTAAAAAACAAAAGGAAACAAAGATCCGTATATACAGTAAGCCCACATTCCCATCCAGATCTCTTCGCCATCTTTCACACGCACCGGACCCGTGCGCCTTCTCTCGTTGTTGCGCGCCGCGAACGAGGCTTCCCTTCGCGCTCGATCAGGAAAACTGGGAAAACTTTTCACGCCGAATTCGAATTTTCGCAATCATGATGCGGCGCATTTGTGAGCAACATGGAGACGAAGGGAATCCTTGGATACGTCGGCAACGCGATGATACTCCGACTATCCCATACACTCTCCTGCTCTCTCCCATGACCTCTTCGTTCCAATCGAAAAAAAAACCCTCGAACGTTGCGAGGCAAGTCTAGCGCAGAAAGGGGAGAACAAAAATGGCAATGCGTGTAACGCTAGCACAACCACAATCCCTGTAGATCCATTGCGATTCCGCCAGTTAACCCGCCGTACGAACCCGCGTCCAGCTGGCCGCGGCCCGGCTGTTCTGGCATCAGGCGCGCGTGTAGGAAAAGATCCTTTCAACTATAGGTGAAAGCACAGATTTTGGACCGGAGTATCACAGAACGAAACGAAAAAAAGGACACGCGCGTGATATATATATTCATGTACTCGAGTACTCGCGCACGGGAACACGCTTCAGCAGATGCACTGACCCATTCTACAAACGCGTTTCTACAAGCCGGACATTCCACCAAACATTTCTCTCTCAAACGTATCGATACACACAACACACAACAGTGACATACACAAAACGAGTACACACATACGCGAGTATACAAAAATGGGGAACATAACGAGATACTTAGGCGTTGCGCGCATACATGCGTCGTAGCCGAGATTTTGTCACCGTCTCTGTATCAAGAGTTAGTGGCGAATTCGAATCTAAAGCCGATCTGAAGCCTATTTTTACTTTAGACTTTAGCGAAAACTCAAAGAGAATCGGTGCATCCGAGTCCCTTTGGTCCCATGATCAGAATTTATCATAAAGAAGAGGCTCGTCGCGATGTACGTGCTAAACGCGAAAGCGTTAGTCGTTCGATGATTATTATTACGATTATTAATTACCGCTACCACTACCAATCAGTGGACGATGACGATAGGTCAAACGATGGAACAAAAATGCCGACGCGACAACATATTTTTTCCTCTCTATGAGTGTAAAACTATCTAATGCAAAAGGGAAAAAAAGAAACTTATTACTTAACTATTAACACTACTTAACTCATAAGAAGCGACATAATTATATAAGGAATAATATATTATATATACATATATTTTTGGTCATTACACGAGAACGTGTGCGAAGCGAGAACAAGCCAAGGCTTTTGTTGGCGCGCGTAGGTGACGTTTTTTCCATGAGAGGCGACAATATTTCTATAATCTCGGTTGTTTCGAGGCCGGCGTTTGACGCGAACGCGTCCCACATTTCGGGCATGTTATAAATACGGCGAAATGCACAGAAAATGCCGGAAAGCGATCTTCGTTGTTGAACATTGCCCACAAGTTCGAACGACACGTTCAAAAATCGAATCCTCTTGCCTCGAATCCTTTTATCTACGAAGGATTTACAAATGGACTTTTTAATATTCTTTAAATAAATGTAAAAGAGATTTAAAATTTTTGTCATTTATTACATAACAAGTCTTATTTATAAAGATCTTGAAAGTAGCCTTGAAATCATGTTAAACAAAATATTTTTTTTTATCGAATTAATTTCTATTTGGCCTTAATCTCTTCTAGTGTTTTTTTTTATCTTGCAGACTTTAACGATGACAAGCTTCTGTCTCTTTTTCCAAGCAATTACGGCCACGAAGATCGCGATCTTTCGAATTGAAAGAATTGTCCAAATCCAGGCAAAAAATGGAAAGATGCAAACGCGAAATTGGAACGTAGGATAAAGAAAAAGGAGATTAAAAAGAAAAGAAAGGGAACGCGTGCGCGCGCGCCCGCTCTCGATTCGATTTCTCCGATACTGAAAAGATGTTTTTCTTAAGCACGAGACGCCCACTTTTTGATACAAATACAAATTTTCTACCGCGTAGAGGGAAAGAGAGAAAGAGAGAGAG